CTGAAAGATGGGCCTGGGTTAAGATAATGAGGAGTGTTAGTCCTTAGCTAATTCTATCTTTGTCTGGTTATCTTTTCTGCATTTTATTACTTTAATATGTGTGATTGTAATAAAGATTGTTAGGTTATATGAATCATTAAGTAACAAAGTAAATACAAATCTTTTAATGCATCATGATAATGGCAAAGAGCTAATGCGTTTCAATAAAGTTAAACAAATCATTAAAATGGTTCCATGATAAAATATATCAACTTGCACCTAACCTTAGCCATATTATTATCTGATTATTATGAGAAGTATATATATATGTTTTAATAAAAAAGTTAAGCTGCTTTGCGGACTATAATATTTTGTTAAAATGAAGTGTGTAAAAAAAGCTTACAAAAATGTAAAATTAAACGATACAAGTTGTTTATCGATAAAGTCACTATAACTTCTTATTGCAACTAAAGTATCATTTAATACGGATTTTTCCCTAGGGTTATAGGCAAAAATAAATGTAAATAATGAATTTGGTTTACGCATACTAAAAAAATATTCAGATTGCTGCTTAAAGAGCCGTCGAGATTGTAAGTGGCGGGCAATAACAGTTTAAAATTATTGAAGTGTCAGTCTCAGCGATTTATGCATAATTGCATGGTTAATAAAAGGAATGAAATCCCCGTTAAAATGTCAGCAACGATTATTGGCCCCCAGCCTCTCGGATAATTAAGCTGTATAAGTGCTTGAATTAAAAGAAAATTGTTATGTTAAAGCCTTTGGCTGACGTTGAAAGGCAGAGCCGACACATCATTAAAAATGTGGCAAACTCAGCACGAAATCAGGGAGTGTGGGCAGAACAGACTGCTCAGACATTCGTCCTTACAGGGATATGGACAGACTGGCTGTCAGCACATTAAAGGTAATCACAATATTTATGTGCATTTAACGAGACACTCCGTAGGCGAAATTGTTGGAACAAATCATTGACAGCTGGCACTGCAGCCACACATTTGCGGTGGTCTTCATTGTATTTTTAGAACTTTTTTTGCCTCCATGTTTTAAGACATTTGCTGTCTTGTTTTTTCCTTTTATTGCTGAGGACTTTGCCACAATAAATCAGATTTTTTTTTCTGCCTAAATTCAATCTCCCTAGAGTCAAAACGTTGGCACATTAAGTTGACAAATAATAGTAGACATACCAAATTGAATGTGAATTGGGTAAATTATTTTTTTGAATTTTTTATTTAATTCGGCCTTAAGTATGTTTAAAATATCTGCACAACTGCCATGTAGCTATTTTGTAACCAAAAAAAACATGCAGTCGTAATCTGCTAAATTTTTTATCGGGCTATTTGCATTTAAATGTTGGCTTTTGTTACAAAGCAATTAGCAATTAGCAGACACATGCTTCTTGTTGGGGATTTCGCTGATAAATGTTCATAAAAACTGCCATTTTGTGCTGTTTTGTGTGAGTTTTCAGTGTCAAATTAATTGGGCACACAAATTTCCCGCAAAAAAACGTCCGATTGTGATTTATTTAAAAGAAAGCAAATCATTCCTCCTAACGAACTTTGACTCTGGGCATTGTGACCCAATTTCTCAAACGATTTAACTTAAATAAATAAATTAGCTACATTTATTTGCCTTCGGGTGGGCAGAACAACGAAAAATAATGTAGAAGATTCAATTAGGCACATTGAAGTGGCAACAAATCAGTGGCACATTCAGCTGGAGATGATAAACTTTGGGAGGAAGTTTCCGGCAGCAGTGCAGCATACGAAAATAAATATGTGAGGGAAATGGAAAACTCGAGTAGAAGTGATAGACAGTCTGTCTGCGTATCTTTATTGCAATCATCGATGTGTGTTTTGCAAAGAAACGTGGGCGTATAATAGACAACTTCCTGTTATTGCCAGCCCATCCCATGTCATTCCCTCCCTATTTTCCGACCCATCGGCATGTAAAATTTGTGGAGTGTAAAGTAACCCTGAAAAGTCGACAAATCAATGTGAAGTTTCCAATTTTTTTGGGTCCTCCTTTATGTCTGTGATACACGTAAAGTTGCGATTAGCCTGGAGTTCACTGGTAAATAGATACAAATAAATTGGGGTTTTTTTTGTCGATAAGAACGTGACGAATGGCAAGCATTTCTAGCTTACATGATTTTGCAAAAAATAAAGAAGAAATTAAGAAAAATAAGATTTATAAGAAATACTTTTAGAAATGTCAATACAGGGATTTTGAAAATATTACTCATAATTTTAGTTTCATAAAAAGCATTTAATTCTTTAAGGACTTTGCTGGCCAAAATATTGCCGTGTGAAGTATGCATAAGCAGCTGCTAAAACAACAAATATAAAACCGAGAATATCATAATCAATGCATCAAAAATGTCAGTCGCTGGAAATTGAAACAAACCATGGCTACAAATGTGATTTGCAATTTTACACGCACGTATCTCTGTGCAAATATGTATCTTGGGAATGGGATGGCGTTGGATGGGACTGGGCAAATAGCGCTCATACGTGATATGGCTGGCACTTCCATTGCATACATCTGGGCTAGCTGTCTTGAGCTCGGATCGCCCCAGCTCCTCACTTTGCCTAATGTTTTTGACGTGAATGGGTTGGGATGCAAGTGAATATGGTCGTTTGGGATATAAAGGGGATTTCTAGTTCAGTACACACAAAAAGAGTTCCGAAAGACAGGAGAGCTTCAAACTGTAAATTTTTTACATAGAAAATAAACATAACGAAGTCCTTTAAATTTATAAAACAAAGGATTCAAAATATGAAAGGTTAGTTATATGAGAATATTTTGTTATGGGACTCAGGATAAGACCTAAGAAATTCAAATAAGTTGAATGAATTCAAAATTGTATTCTTTTTTTCTGTGTGCAGTCTTATTTATGCGCATTTTCCGGGCCTATCAACACCACACAAGGACATGATTAGCCCGGTCCAAACTTATAAGCTCGTAAAGTGTGTAAAAGGAGACCCCGCATATGTTGGCCGAATTGCATGTCAACGCTTGGCCACGGCCAAGTCAACAACTTCATAAATATGTCGAGCATGTGTAGCTCGGATGACTGCCCCCAACCCACAAAAAGTTCGCCTCCTCGGATGGCAGGACCCTCTGGCAGAGATTTGTGCCACATCATCGCTCCGAGCTGACCATTTTTACGCTTCCGTCGAACAACAAAATGGCATTAAACGCAGATCAATCAAAATCAACACCGCTGACCCATATACACACAGAAAGATACATGACTTGTGGTTGTGGGCGGAGAAGGTGATTGATTTAAGTCGGGAATAGAGTTGTTCTTATGTATACATGAGTGTTGGCTGTTCGCCTAACTGACTTTGCACTGATAGTTTTCCCCCTTTTTTTGGGCTTGCAAAGTTTCCTATTTACCAGACCTTCTGTATACTTTGGGCCTCGCTATTTTGGCAACTTCCGCACTTGCTGGCACAACAAACGAAACTTAAGTTGTTCTTCGCCAACAAGAGCACTTGTTTAACTTTATCTTGCCTCAATTTCGCCATTAATTGGCGAGCACCATTGAAGCCGCGTTTCAGTGAAAAGCCATCGTGGTTTCGCCTGTTGTCCCAGAAGAATTCTTTAGAGTTAGGGCAAGCGCCACTTTGAAACAAATTGTCAACTATATACATTCCCAACTAAATTTCATTTTCTACCAAGCTACGAAGAGATTGCCTTGGTTTATTCATGCACATCGGTCTGGCTTACACTTGAAAACTCACAGCTGGAGCTGGAGTTGAGGTCTATTCAGGTTGAAGTACATTTATTTGTACAGCTTGCGGACATTCTCGGTAATTTAAATGGGTCAAAATGTAGCTGACAAAATTGTTTTCCTTTTAACAGTTACTATTGTTGCACCCCAAAGAGCTAATGAAATATTTCTACTTTACAAAAAAAGTTCTTCTTTCATGTATCTGACAAATAAATAAATTTTTGTTACTTTCTGTATTTAGCTGAGCTGGTTTTCTAACCTTTTATACATTTATTTTAAGTGCTGGCATATGCTTAATAGTGAATTTCAATAAAAAACAATTAACTTTCCGCATGGTCAAAACTAAAACAATTATGGCTAACAAAGCAAACCTAACAGCAATTTTATTAACTTATGCTGAAATTTCAAAAATTCTTTAAGCCAAATAGCTAACGTAAAAACAGTAAGCCTTGTTCATTTCTCGTGTTCCTATTATTCCAACTAAACAAAATAGGAAAATGTTTTTTTACAAAGATACATTTTTTTTATATTAATAAATAAATAAAATCTTTTGACATTCTTTTTGCTGAGTTTAATTATACAACGGATATGGATACGAATTTCTAATTTAATTCATCCTGTTGTATTTTTTTGCTAATCCATGCTAGTAATCCGGTTAACTAACAATGCAATTAAATGTTACACACATAAAAAAAGCTTATTTAATTAAGCACAATTCAGCATGACACCTCTTTAATTTTGACACACGTTTCTTTTTTTAAGAAAACTTAATACAATTTGTAATATTGCCAGTCAGATGAAAAGTTTTGTAATTTAACTAAAACTCTGTTTGAAGTTTTAATTTAAACTCAATTTAAATTATAAATATTTAACTAACTACAAAAAAGACTCGTTAAGTGTTACAACTAAATGAAGTGCTAATGACAGCATGGCTAGTATTAGTGCCTAATGAAATTCCTACCTTTCTTTTAATCAATTAGCTAGTGTTTTGCTGTGTCGTAGGAAATAATTGTTAAATTTTGTGAAAACGAATTGCAATCCTGGTGTAACATGCATAATTGAGTCGCAGTCGCAGACGCAGAATGGAAATCCAGGCGAGTAAATTAATTGCTGAGCTTAGCATGAATTCGCATTCAAATGTTAAGATTAATCACTGTCATCTAAATGCGAACGAATATATAAATTGAATAGATACTTAAGCGCTAAGAGGGAGACATGTTGTCCAAGGCATGGCGCTTAGTAATTGCGCAATCGCAGCGATACTCACTCAAACTACTTGCCGTGGCATGAATTGCAATTGCAATTCCAATTGAATATTGTGCACTCGAAATGAAAATTGAAATTACACCTCGAATTCAAATTGGAATTGAGTTTGGTGTTAAAAAATGTGTTAAACAAACGGCACTGCCAATTGGTCAGCGATTTCACTAGAGGCGATTAACTTCGATGAGCTTCGATTAGTCAGGTTATCTTGTCTTACAAGTGTTTCAAAGGTGCACACGCGATGTCTTGATTTATATGCAAAATTAATTGTTAACTTTTTTTTCTCTGCAATCACTTCTTTTTTGTTTTTTTTTTTTAATAATGTTTTAATGTTCACTTTTTATAGGGCACCGAATTCTTTTAGTGGTTGACCATTTCTACGAGCTTGCCAACGCGATTACGATTTTTGGCCACGCAGCGTTAAGAAATTTCGCGTCTGGTTCAAACAAAATTTCGCATTGAACTGAATTCTGTGTGTGGCATCGTCGTGCGGATTTTCCTGTTTGGGCTGCTGCTGTTGCTGCTGCTGCTTCTGATGTTGCTGCCGTTGCTGGTGCTGTTGCTGCTGGCGATGGTGTTGCTGGTGTGCCGACACAATGGCAACACGAAGGCACACGACAACTGACCTGCCGCCTGCTGCCTGATTTCTGATTTAAGTCAGCCGGCTAAAGAAGCCGACAACTGAACAACCCAAACAGCTGTTTTTTGTTTATGTTGCCGAACTCGTTTTTGGTCGGAAAGGCTGTCAACATGCTGCACATATCACTGACCATGTTGCTGCTGCACTTGACCATTCCATGCGGATGTGCAGCCACAGCGTTTCGAGTGTTGAGTTAATATTTATGGCCAATTAATTATTGCTGGCTAGCCAGCTTCAAGGGGAAAACTTAGTGTGCACCAGCAACATGCAACATGTTGCTGCCGTCCAACAAGAGCTTATTGTTGCACAACATTAAACGAGTCAAGAGCTTTGTTATCAAATTGTGATAAGTAGTAACTAATAAGGCATTTTATTAGAATTGTAATGCTTGATTTCCGTAAAAAATTACAAATATGTAAAATTAAATTATGTCATTGTAATTAAACATAATTTTCTATATAACTAAAGACTTCAAAGGACAAACACTTATTAAAACGTGTACACAACAGATTAAAATATTTTTTTTTAAACCTCAGAAGCATATTCCTACTTTAATGTAGGTACAGATACCCACCTCATAAAAGCATTCGGACATTGCCTTGTAAATTACATCGCCATGTTTATGACTTTAATTGATTCCACTGAGTTGAGGCAAAAAATTCTGTTGACCCAAATACCAAGAAATTGTATTTTCATTTCATTCAGATTTTTGCGATGTGCCAAAACAAATGTAGAAACACATACCCTACTGATCTTTTCTGTGTTTAAAAAATGAGCAACATAAAGAAATGCTCAGAATTCGTGACAAAAAGCCATCAAAATTCACAAAACAATCATCAACAATCAAAGTCGATTCAGAGTAATTTTTTATTAAAAAGCCGAAACAAAACAAAGCGACAGCAGCTGCATTTATGAGAACGCAATTGAGAGACTCGATTCGAAACGCGAAATTTGTTCGAAACTTTGGCAGCATCGCATAAATAAGCAAATTTATTTGTATGATATCTGTAGCGGCAATTTATATCGTTGTAGCATTTATTTATTGTGAACATTTTGTCATAAAGCACATGGCACAGAAAAAGTGAGACAGGAGGAAATTCTCGCTCATCATGTTCGTCTGTCAGCGGGAGTGCTTTAAAATAAATAAACAACAATAAATAAATTGCATTAAACAAATAATTAGGCGTAAAATTATGTACTCGCCGGCGAAATGAATATATGTATTTCTCATTATAAATATATTTATAGCCGAGAAGAATATAAGCGATTCTTGGATGCTCTTTATGAAAAAAAATCTTTTAGAAAAAATAATTTTTTTCAGAAATGATTTTAACAAATATTTTTTGGCATGAAATTTAATGAATCTTTGTTAGAGTTTGTTTTCATACGCATGGTCTCGAAATGACCAGAAAAACACAAACTTCAAGACACCCCGATTTAAAAGAAACTGCTGAACTCTAAGAAAATAATGAATTCCTCACCAATCTACCAGAAAAAGAAATCTAAAATCGTGCAAGTGGCGTATTTTGGGTGGGAGGTCGCAAAGTGTCCGAAAATTCTTGAAAATCTTGTTGACAGACGACAAATTTATGACTTCGTAAATCGCAGTAATGCTCACTTGCCTTTTAATTGGCCTGGTCGCAATTAAAAATACAAAAATTTCTTATTTCATGTGGTTTACGAATGGCTAATAATTTGATGCCGAACGACTTGTGGTCACAGTTCGAATGATTTATCTGCGTCGCGGGCCAAACTTTCTTGGGTGATAAATTTCTTGGAAATGTCTCTGCCTTAAGCTGGTTTAATGCCGTGGCCCATCAAAATTTATCGTTCCGCATAATGCTAATGACTAATATTCATTTCGGTTGGCTCACGTTTTGTTTGCCTATGATGCTCCTATAATTTAGTTGACATTTTGCAGCAAATCTGTGGAAGAACACTTTATAGAACAACAACAAGACCAGAGTGTTTCACTGAAACAACTAATAATGGGTATTTTATTTCCATGACAATGGCAACGTCAACGCAATTCAGATCCGACTCAAAGGCTTAGGGGCAGCTTTTCTGCGAATTTTCAACAAATAATGCCCGTATGACCTCTCTTGTTTCCTTGATTTTTTTCTATATTGTATATGTACTGCACATGAAGGAAAATTAAATTCAAGGCTTCAAATGCAGGCCAGTATCTCAAATTATAGTCTGCTGTTGTCGGTCTTTCACGGTTCATTTATATTTATGACTATAATACACACACAACGAATTAAATGAGCTGTTCTTATAGGAAAAGGTCGTGCATAAGAGGAAAATTATAGCAGCAGATATCATCTCGTTTCTAATAACATTCGTATGCAACAGATTGTCAACAAAATGATTTGCTGGCAGAAAGGGGAGAAGGCCTCCTGCAGTGGCCCGCAGCACACGCGTCATATGCGCAATTTGCATAATGAGGACATGAGGAAAGGAGTTGGCTTGGGTTTTCCGTTTCAAGGCACAGTCCCCACGGACAGATGACCCAATTTTCAAGGGTCCTTCAGCGCTTTATTGAGCCACTTTCCGTTGCCTATCCTTTTCGCTTTACATTCCCTTTATGTCTTAAGTGTCTGTAACCTGAGGCTAAGCGGTCTATTTTCAGCAGTCCAGACATGGCCTTAAAGCTAGTTGGAGATGCTTAAGGATTCATCCGGCGTGGCCTGGCTGTCGATTCAATCGCCTTAGATACACTCGCCCACAGTCGCCCCGAGGCAGTTCAAAGGTAAATAATCGGATAAATATTTGTAATAATTTTTTGAACGTTGAACCACTTGCATGCGAGTAGCAAGTAGCAAGAAGCAAGTGGAACCCACAATCAGATGCAGCTCATTAGCATTTGATTTGGCGTCGAAGCTGGCAAATATTTCCGGCAAAGCTGGCAAACATTGAACTTTTGCTCCGTGTCATTGCCATTTGCGGTTAGTTGAGCGGCAAAAGGTAAACAAATTTATGGGAAAACTCTCTCACCACCTGCGGCTTGAATAACGAAGTGAGTTGTGTTCGAGGTGTGAAAATATATTGGGTAGCGAGTCAAGCGCTGGAGTGAGTAATCAATATAAATGCGATTTTCGTTCCCAAATCTATCATTCTCAGGTAAATTTATAAGCAACCTACTGTTTAAAAAGGGAAGTTAATAAAATTTGACAAGCCCATGTTGACAAGCACCCATAATTTAGAGTATTCCGATTAGTTCGACAAATGAGGAATATGACGAAAACCGATATTTGCGTTAATACGTACGTTATACACAGCTGCGTTTTTAAACAATGGAAATAGATAATAATAACAAAGTTCTCTAATAATATTTTTGCTACCATGAGTAAAATTTTGTGTTTTCTTAATTCATGTGTTAGAAGTCATGCACAATTAAATAGGTTTTAATTATGGTTCTTACGATACAAAATAAACCAAAAACAGTAGAATGAGCCATAGAGCCAAAGCATGATTTTAAAGCTTTTCCTTTACAAATTTAACTACCCAGTAGACTGGTGCAATATCTTTCACCATGTTTCTATATTTTTCATTCATTTAAGCTAAGTCACCCGAAGAACATACATAAATGTAAAATATTTCAAATACAGTTTATACATTATTGTACATTTGCGTTTGTTGGTAGAACACGAGGCCAACGAAATCGAAGGCTAAATTGAATCAAACATTGTGTTAAGTGAAGTTACCGACTGCCCTTCGATGAGAATGGTGCGCCCGAGTCGACGCAAGGGAATCGAGGAGGTGTACGGCTCCAAGATGGATGCTTTGCATCCGGTAAAGTCGGTATCGATTTCGCATGCAGGTATGACCAAAACAACCGCCATGCGAGCTGAGAGATCGGGTCCAGGCGGTGCAGTTGCCGTAGGAGGAGCCATTAGCTCCCGGCAAGCCGATGCTCGTACGCAGCGCAGTTTTGTCACCGAAAACGATTACTATATAACCACCAATCTGCCACTGACGGCGGCCAATTTGCGGAATGCCCCCGGCTCGATGGCGCAGCCATCTGCATCTCTGATGATTCCCGGTCACGCCCAGCCGTCGCCCTACAACGCCATCTCATCGAGGCGCAACAACATGTCTGTTAAGGCCAGTGCTCGTCAGCCTCCGATCAACAAGGTGCCGCATTTCAACATGGCCGACGGCAAGATGAACAATAATGTGTACAATATAGTAAAGCCAAAGGAGGGGCATCGAATGCAGCACCAAGGCAAGGGGAACACCCAGAGAGGCAACTTTCCCATGGACGATAATGGCGAGTTCTCCGAAAAGGAGCTTATGGTACCCCAGCAGCAGGAAAATCAGGGAAATATGCGCCGCCACAACCAGCACTCTCATGTCCACCAGATGCAAATGCAAATGCATTCCGGAGTGATGCAACATCCGCCGCAGCATCAGCTCCACCAGCAGCAGATGTCCAACCACAGTCATCTTAAGCAGCAGCAGCAGCAACAGCACCACCAACAACAGCAGCCCCACCATCCACATCCGCATCCACATCCGCATCCCCATCCCCATCAGAAGCACTCGCGTGGGCGGCAGCCGCTTCCGACGAGCAAGGTGCACGTGAGTACCGCCGATGACGATGAAGAGAAGGACGACGATCCCGAGGAGTTCTTCGAGCTGATACGCCAGACCGTCCAAACAGCCGTAGGAGTGAGTCCAAAACTATACTTAGTACTTTCTTTATACACAACTTTAATATTATATTAATATTAATAATAATCAAGTTAATTATATAGTAAGTTATAAAAATAATTATATTTGACCATGTTTAGCCAGCAAGTAAACTAGATTAATGTATTTGTTAACAGGTCACTAAAACTAATACAAAATAGTTTTAAATCTTTATTTTGGTTCCTTTTCAATCTAATTAAACTTAACTTAACTGGAAGAACTGCTATTTTAAATTATCTTTACTGTTCGAAACAACTGGCCGATTAACCACTAAGAAAGTTTATATTCTTAAAAACCTTTTTTTCACCATAATTTCTATGAAGTAATATTCAAATTGTACCTATAGTTTTTATTTAGAACTTTTAAAATTGATCGATTTTCAGTGAAAAATATGGGAAATTTAATAAAGAAAGAAATAAAAGAAAACATTTGATAAATCATACTTAATATATGATTTTGGCTAAAATTTGACAAATAAATTAAAATTATTTAATTTTTAAAATATTTGTTCAAATGGAAAGTCTAAGTTACTAACTAGATTTATTTTCATCGCGTAGAACACCATTTCTGATGCTCTGTTTAAGAACTTTCGGGATCTGAGCCACAAATTCGAAAGGCTTTCGAGCGACTTAAAGCAAACAAACGATAACCTGGACAAGCTGCAGGAGCAGGTCACCAGTAGTAGGTGGTCTCCTAGCATTATCGATAATTACTAACTATTTCCCCCCTCAGAGGTAATTTATTACGGCGAGGAGAACTCGCGGCACTTCCGCTACTTGTGCATGAAGTCCGAGTACGATAAAATGTTCTACCAGCACCAATCGATGATGGGTGGCAAGCCGACTCCGGAAATGATCAGTCTCTCAAAGGCAAGCCTGGCAGCAGCAGCTTCAGCTAGTAAAAATCTGGGTTACAAGCCATCGCTAGGGGTGAAGCATGGCGCAGGCAAAGGGGTCAAGAATCGCGGAAGAGTGCCCAGTAGCACCAAAAGGGACCTCAATGAGACCACGCTGAAGAACTCCGGGGCTTATCAGAGCACCTCCAAGACTCCAAGAGCACCTCAGCAGCCTGGCGTTGAGGTGCGCAAGTCATCCTCGGACCACAGTTTGATTGCCAAGTCCTCGGAGCTGGGCATGCGCGAAGTACTGGGTCACATAAAGCGCTTCTGCACCCAGATGCAGCAGAACGAAACGGGTAGCCAGATGGCCAACGATCAGCTGCTTAACCTCGACGACATTTTGGTTCCCAAGAAAGTTTCCAACGGCGGACTGTGCGAAGCGGGACCAAAGAATCCCCGCAACATTGCAGGCAGTCAGGGTGATAACAAAGAAGATGACACCGAGGTGGAAACCCCCGTAGACAGCATGGACGAGACATACAACGGGATGGACGACTTTCAGTTCTCCTCGGAAATTTCGTCCTGCAGCGAGGACGACAACTGTGGGCTCAAATATCCAAGTGGACCAGCTACAGCTCGTGGGCCACCCAAATCGAATCGAAGGACGGCCAACAAGGGCGCCGGAGATGGTCAATAATGCAAATACTCATTTTACTATATATTATCTAACAGATCAGAAAAATCCCTGAACATCGAAGCATGAAGAAACATTCCCCTGAAAACATCTTAATACAAGTATAACATACTTGTTAAAATCTTTCTTTTGGAATGTCCTAAATTGTCATCGATATACGGTATCGATATAAAAAATAGCTTTCAGTTTCGGACCATATATATATTTCGGAAAAATTGGCAATAGCTTGTTATTGCTTGTACCATGTGTATACAATGTATTCATATAACTTGTCTTGGGGATCTGAAAAAAAACACGTTCAAAATTGCGTTCAAACTGTTTCGAGCCCTAACTGTGTTTTTGTATTGGTTATGGATTTTGGGGAGGCATATCTCTAAAAGATTTTGATTTAATTTTTTATATAGCTGCGCTATAATTATGAGTTCCGAATTTCCAAAAGAAAAATACACATCCAGGACCTATAGCTTTTCCCAAACATTTTAAAGCTTGTACTGTAATTTCTCTATTAATAACCATTTGCTTTGCATTTTTGCTCTAGTTTATTTTTACCAATCCTGGTGAATCGATCTGCAATGATGAATACGAAACTGACCTATTTGGCCCTTGGCAATCTCAATCCCGGCTAAGTAATGCCCATTGGTGTCACTAATAACTGCATATTATATTGACTGCATAACAAGAACAGCATGAGCTGGCCAAAACAAGGCATCACCCCCGAGCAGGTGGAAATGAGTCGAGTGGAAAATAAGGCCTAAGACCACCCCCAATAACCCTAGCCTGCAGCTGCATTTTTATGGGCTTACGACTGCCGCGGTTCGGCCAGTTCTTTCGCTGGTTCAGTTGGCCAAAGCAGTTTAAACGTGAACGTGGTCTGTTGACTTCATATTGGTGCGTGCCTGTCGACATATAACATACATTTAAATAAAATTCCAAAAGGCTGAAATGAGGCGAACAAGTGAATCTTAATATAGTTTTCCCAGCAATTTAAATTTAAATATCGCAGATTAAAAGAGTTGAAACGAAACTTATGCAATGTGGCCACATGCAATTTGCAGCTTTTCGACTGTGGCTGCCTTTGTCATTAATTAAAAAGTGTTATGCAAAAACCCCGAAACCCGGAAAAGCGCCCTACGAATGTCAAAGCCCAAGGCCCGAGTGTCTGTTTTATTTTCAAGGATATTCCACACAACGTTCTACTGGGAAACAGTTTAGATTGGATAGCGTAAAAGAGTAAAGAAGTGAAACATTTTGATAAACCAAGTGGATAACAAATACTGTGCAAGCTGTCAAGTGCTCAACATAAGAGTAGCCAAAATTGCAATTACTGATCGGCACCTTTGACAGGCCACCCTGCTTTCCACCCTGTAACTCGAAACTTTTACCAGCGAGTCGGCTAATTGCAATGACCAATATTTGAACTGGCTTCTAGGGGGTACATATTTATTTTTACAATTATGGGAAACGGAAAAATATACACACGAAGCGAAAAGCACTCGATTTCGAGTGACAGTTTGAGCCAATAACCATAACAACCAGCGAGTGCCGGGCTTAAGCCAAGTTAGTCAAAACAAAACGGCCAAAACAGGTGCAAAACATTGCCACATCAGTGTTCCGCGTTCGATTCTCAGGGGGTGGGTTCGAAAAACGGAATACAAAAATAAAATAAAAGACTCAAAGAAATTGAATGGAACATAATTGCATTGTTCGTGGGCACTGCAATACTGCACCCGTTAACACAGGGGTTAACAAATCAAATTGGTCGTCCACGAACAAACAAAATACATGGTTTGAGTGCTGCGTACATCACTGGTCAAATATAAAACGAGAATCGTTTAATTGACCCTAAAATCACTGAGGCGTTCAATTTGTTTTTTGCCATTGCCCAGCCATGGCTGAAACCAAAACTATTGTGGCTCATACTGTCAGAGGGCTCAGTGCGTGAATCTGTGTATTAAGTGCGGTGCAACAAATTTCAACATTTGCCACAAACAAAATTCTATTGATTTTCCCGAAGTGAAAGAATATGTGAAACAGAAATATTTTCCACCGCATTACTTTGCACTGATAGTGGGGAAAATCACGAACGAAGGAACGGACAAGGAAAAGTGGAAACTGTGCCAAGCCAAAGTCTGTGCTGGTGTGACAATTTTTAATGCGATTAAAGTGCAACACTCTACACGCAGTCGGCAAATGTTTAAAGTGGTCGGAAAAAATGGCAAAAGCTAAAACTAAAATTGTTCAGCAGTTCGCATAACGATACAAAACCCTACTTTCAATTGTTAATGTCCCACTTACAATTTCCTTTCTGTGTTTTAGAGTGCTCTTAAAATGTTACCAACTATCCGCACGTGTTGAAGAAAAGACTGGAAAATCATTTCATTATCAACGGACAATTTTTTGTTTAATTAAAGACCATTAAACTTTAAAAAGGAAGGTCATGAGTTCGTGGCAGTCTGGCCGAAGGAAGCCATTACCAGTGGGTGAGTGCTCAGTAAATGTTGTAAGTCAGAAGTGAAATGCAATGGAATAAATGGCATCTTGAAGGGACTTAATACATTTACTCGGAAAATATTTCAAGTGATTAATATTTTATATAATGTCATTTAAGTATTAAATGAAATTTGGCAATGGCATTGTGAGCTTCGTAGATTACTACTGTGAAATGTAATTTCGATGAGTTAATAAGACTTTCTAAGAAGTTACTTTTATTTTATTGTCAGTGCCGTTCTATTAAGTGTGTTTCTTAAAATGTGTAATAAAAGTGACATTCCCATTGCCAATGTCATATATTGCTTAATTTAATCTATTAAAATTGTGATCTCTATTTCCAGTTCTCATATGCTTCCTTTTCGCACTGCTCTGCATCTTGGACTGCCATGGGGTAGAGGTGACCTCACCCACCAAGAAGTCCGCTCCCCTTCGAATTACCAAACCGCAGCCCACAAGTCAACAGGTCAAGTCCATCAGTATAACCACAAAGGCCCCAACAACGGTGGCTGAAACCACCGACGACGGAGTCTCCAGCTCCGTCGACGGGCAACTGGCCCCCCTCATCTCATCCACAACCGAAGGGAGCAGCAGTGGAACAACTGCCAGCTTAGTGCCGGAAATATGTCACAATGGTCTGCAATTGACCGTCAACAGTGCGGATGAGGGAACGGTGATTCGGAAACAGGAGGAGTTTGTGAAGACACTCGAAGGCGATGTGATGCTCAGCGTCCTGACCAAGGATCCCGACTCGGCGTTGTTCGTAATTAATCGAGTGAACCAGGCGAATCTCATAATGGCAGACTTTGAAATTGGTTTGAAATAGTCCCAGCCTTAATGTACTTTTTATGCATTTTATCCCATATACATTTAAAAATGTTTATGTTCATTTTATGAACTCAATGTTATTAAAGTCAGCTTGTTTTCTCACCAAAGTACTAAACTTAATAATGATAATATTTATATTTTGCTATATTTTGCCATTTTACCACAGGAATTCGCGCCATCAGCATCGACAACGTCAGTTTGGCGGAGAATTTACTTCTGCAGGAGGTTCAGTTTCTGCAGCAATGCACTCCTTACTCCATGGGCATATTCCTCGACTGGGAGCTGTACAAACAACTAGAGTCGACCATAAAAGACCTCGAGTACAATATCTGGCCAATACCAGGAACCCGCGCCCACCTTTTCCCCAAAGTAGCACATTTGTTGCACCAAATGCCGTGGGGCGAGAAAATTGCATCCGTGGAAATTGCCACCGAAACTCTGGAGATGTACAACGAATTCATGGAGGCCGCTCGCCAAGAGCACATGTGCCTGATGCACTTCAAAAGTGACGAGAACGTGTACATAATGTTTGGCAATAAGCTGGCCAGTAATTTCAAAGAAAACGGTACGCTGTTTTCCGTTCCCACCGATCGAACAGATGAGGAATTTGTGGCAGGTGAGTAAAGTTATATCATAGTAATGTATAAAACAAGTATATAAAAGCAAGAAAAATCGAAAATATATTAAAGGACCGACAATTTTCGTGGTTTAAACCTTTTGTTTCTTAAACGACTAATGGGACTTTCATACCAATTTTTTTGATTTAAAGTTTTTGGTCAAGAATAAAGTTTTTTTTGCAAAATTTACAGAAGAAAGAGACAATGGTATTAAAATAAAATTAAGTATAAAAAATTATTTTTGGTCTTCGAAAAATATTGTAGTAAATAAATTATTGTTTCGCTTAGTTTAACACTGTTGTGGAAGTTATATTTATCATTTATTATTTGAAACACTTTTTTTACATAAGTAAATGCTAAATGTTGGTAAGTTTCTTTCTATCGTGGCTTTTTGTTACTAATTATTTTGAATACTATCAAAAGTTTGCATTTTTTTTATTTAATTTTCTTAATTTAATGTTTGATGTAAAATTGGTTTAATAAATGTTAATTTTTGCTAAGTTTGCAAATTTAATTTACCAAAAATAAGTTAATTTCATACCGTTATTTATAATAGATCTACCAAACCGAGCATTCATCTTGATGGAAAATGAAATCGACTTAACTACCACTGTCGAGCTGGATAACACGCCCACTACTTTGGACGAGATCCTGATAGGGAGAAGCGTGGTTCCCTCGAGAGTCCTGAGCTTTGCCGACTCCGTAATTGACCTGATGAACTGGCTGCGTGGATCCCTGTCCAAGCACTGTAAACGGGACGAGGAAAACGACTTGTATGTGCTGGAGACCTGCTTCAACTTCCTAAACTTCATAGAGGACTGGAGGACATCGGAGTACCGTCAAGCTCATGACACAGCCGAGATCCTGTCGCGACTGTTGATGCGCAAGCTGGGCACCTCCATGAACTTCCAGATGTATCAGAAGAAAGTCCTAACGCTGGACAAAATCACGGGGGAATCCCGAATCGAACTGCGCGAGATTGCCTCGCAGAACTTTGTTAGCAACGTGACCACGTACTATCACTACAATCGGGATAATAGTACTAGCCTCGAGCTGAAGACCAAGTTCGGTCAGGTCTTCAACTGCCAGTACAGTGCCGGGGATAACAGAAGATATCCCTTCCTGTTCGATGGCGAATCGGTGATGTTCTGGCGCATCAAGATGGACACGTGGGTGGCAACTGGGCTGACGGCCGCCATCCTCGGCCTGATTGCCACGCTGGCCATCCTGGTGTTCATTGTGGTGCGCATCTCGTTGGGCGACGTCTTCGAGGGCAATCCGGCCACCTCCATTCTGCTCCTGCTGTCCCTCATTCTGGTCTTCTGCTCCTTTGTCCCCTTTTCCATTGAGTATGTGGGTGAGCAGCGCAATTCGCATGTGACC